AAAGGTTTTTAAGTCCTGCCTTTTAACTTTATTTTACGGTTTTATGTGTACACATTTAATCCGAGAGTTATTTATTGACAATTTATTATTATTATAAATTTAAACCTTTGGACATCTATCCCGTCAGGATAGTGTCCTTCCTACTTGTTAAGACATTCAATTGAAAGCCAAAGTACAGAGTTACATCTCTGAGGCAAGTAAATTACCTTTTTAGGTCAGATCATTACAATTTTTCCTATATCTTATTATTTGTAAATTTAGATCATCAAGGATCAGCTGTGTATAACCAGGGAATTTATTTTTTGTATATAATTAACTAGGTTGACTGTAAATAATTGGGGGTGGGTATTTAGGGTAAATTTAGATTGTATATATTGGATAGGGATTAAATTTTTGGTGAAAACTAAATATTTCAATTAATACAATTCTTTTTTTATTTCAGCAAATAGCTTTACAAGATACCTTGGAAAGTTTATGTTAATACTTTCCTGGCGCCCACTCACATTTTGGAGCAACTTCTATAATCACTTTTATTTACCTTAGTTATATACCTATAGATTGTTTATTACCTTGTCATTCATTTTCTTATTCTACGGTCTCTGTAGGGCATGCAAATGGCCGAATCCTCTTTTGAGTGTCAAGTAGTCACTCTCCGGAGTCTTCTGCTAGCCAGCTTTAAATTATACGTTATCTTTTACATTACCCCAAACACTTTTATTACATTGAGATCCTAAACCTCTCAGTCCACACATTTTTTGTTACAAAAGCTGCGGCAGCAACATAATCGTTATTTAAGTCCAAGTATAGTTTTTCCGTGAATACGAAGATTGCATCATATGTTGATATACAATACACTTACAATTACTGGTTGTGAGACACTGGGTACTATTCAAAAGAGGGGGTTTCATATAAGTGACAGGAAACTAGGGAAAATTGAAAGAATAAATGGCTTGGGGAAAGGAATCTATCTTGCTTGTGGGCAAAAGAAATAAAAATTGATGCAACTTTGGTATCAGATACAGAAATATTGAAAAGCCTGAAAAATGCCCTACGTTTGGGCACCAATTTTTAACGAAATATTTTGTATTTATTTATGTCCTTGTAGTATTTATGTCCTCTCATCACGTGACCCAAATATTCGAGATTTCTTCGTTTGATCGTTGATAAAATTTCTGGGTCTTTTACTATCCTTCGTATTACTTCAAAGTTTGTGACTCCTTCAACCCAACTTATCTTCAGCATTCGACGGTAGCACCACATCTCGAAAGTTTCAATATTTTTTATGTTGTTCTGTTTGAGAGTCCAGGACTCTACACCGTATAATAGAGTATTAAATACGTAGTTTCTTAGCATTCTTAATCGTAGAGGGATGCTTATATCTCTGTTGTAGAAGAATTTCCTTATCTTTATGAAGGCAATTTCGATACGTCTTTTTATTTCATTGTTTTAGTTTTCTCAACGACCTCAGTGAGAATGAGTTAATTCTTAAAAATCATTCACTTTCCAACTTAGTATAAACAAAACATATATCCGGAATATTTATTTAAAACGCAGAGTATTCTAAAAGTGGCTTTTGAGTAAAAAAATGCCGAGATAATACGCATCTGTGAAATGTAAACAAACTTTTAAAACTTGTTTATAACAAATTCAATGACTTAACTTATGGTATTTTAATTGATTAATTATGTTAATTAAATGTAGTTGTCCATCACATTACATTTCAAACATTTGTACTAATGGTAGTGGTATTTTCTGGAGGTTGACCACAGTTTAAAGAAGAAGAAGAAAAAAGAAAATATGCATCTTCTTGACAGGTGACTAAGCGCGAATCACTGTGAATCACTGTGTTTTTCTGTGCGGTGTTGATCACAAGTCTTTTCCGAATATTGTTATAAAAAGTGTTCAAAATGCCAAAAAGGTTATCAGAGAAGGATAGTGTATCCCGGAAGAGGCGTAAATATGAAAAATTACAACAGAAATTGGCAAAGTTAAGGGAGGATTTGAAAGAAAGTGATCAAGGTATTTATAGGTTATATTATACATTCTACACACCTTGTGGAAAAAGATATTATGTTGGTTGTAGGGTGCCTTTAGGTAGCCCAAAATAAGGCAGAATAAAAATTAACGCCTTAACAAAAATTAGAGCAGTAATCATGTCCTGTCTCCGGCTTCTATACAACATGTAGCTTCTCCTTTTCAAAAATTTTAAAGTTTTTGTTTGTCTTAGTCTATTGTATTTTGTATTGTTATGTCCAAATTTACATTTATGACATTCTACTCATGTCGGATAGGCCACAACTGACGAAATGCCCCTGAAGATGATCTATTGATCGAAAGTACTTTGGCAAGATTAAATTAATCACCGTGTTCGCTAGTTGCCTTGTATACCGTCAAAGTTTAATAGTTATAACACTAAAATGCCCATACCTAAATACTTGGAAAACGATTTCAATTGGTGGTTAAATAACATACCAATTAGTAAGCAAAATATAAAAGAATCAAATTATGTACTTGAAATATTTTGTGATGCATCTCTTTTAGCCTGGGGGCATGCTGTAATAACAAAACTCATGGTTTTTGGAGTTATAAACAGCAGAAACTACATATAAATGCACTTGAGTTACTGGCAGCATATAATGGCCTGAAATCCTTTTCCAAGGGATATAGAAATTGTAACATTTTGCTAAGAATAGTTAATACAACAGCGGTGTCTTGTATTAACAAGATGGGGAGTGTGCAGTACTCTAATCTAAATAGCATTTCTAGAGAAATTTGGCAATATTGTGAAAACAGAAATTTAAGAATATTTGCATCTTATATCAGTACAAAAAAAAATATTATTGCTGATTCAGAGTCAAGATCTTTAAAAATAGAAACAGAGTATTCTTTAAGTGATAATTGTGTTAATATAATTTTTAAGCAGCTTTATATTCCAGATATAGATTTGTTTGCTACATATCTTAACAAAAAATGTGCAAGGTATGTGTCTTGGAAACCTGTCCCCGGATCGGAAAAGGTTGATGCATTCACTCTAAATTGGCAGGGATTAAAATTTTATGCTTTTCCACCTTTTGCTATTATTCCACGAGTTTTGGAAAAAATAATATGTGACAAAGCCATAGGGATTGTGGTAGTACCAGAATGGCCAAGTCAGCCTTGGTACCCAACCTTTAATAAGCTGGTATCAGGCAAAAACATAATTTTAGGACCTGATAAAAATTTAATCTTGAACCCTTTTAAGCTTCCATATCCGGGACACCAACATCTTACCCTGGCTGCCGCATGTTTATCAGGCAAGCTTTTTTTAGAAAAGGCATTCCTGAGGATTCCATCCCAATTATGACTGCATCTATTACAACAAAAACACTTAATTTGTATAATACTGTTTTCAAGAGATGGTAGAGGTATAGTATAGAAAAAAATATAGACCCTTTTGCTTATGAATTATTAAATATTATTAATTTTATTAAATCAATAGTAGATCAGGATTACACTTATAGTTCTATAAACATTCACAGAGCTGCATTGGCGTTGATAATAGATATCCCAGAAAATCATAAAAACATTTTTTAAAAATTTTACAAAGATATAACCTCAAACGAAGGTATAACCAAATATCGATTTACTTGGGACCCTCAACCAGTATTAGTTTATTTAGAAACATTATTTTCTCTCACAGGCTTTTCCATGAAAGAACTTACCTACAAACTTGTAATGTTAATTGCTCTTATTTCAGCACACAGGTTGCAAACCATATCCCTAATAAAAATTCAAAATATTCTAATTGATCAAGATAAGATTGAGATTCTGATACCAGATAGGATAAAAACTTCGTCAAAAAATAAAAATCATCCTGTTTTAAGATTTCCATATTTTAAGGAAAAACCACAGTTGTGTGTAGCATCGACTTTATGCCAGTATTTAGAGATTTCTAAAAACATTCGTTCTTAATTGGAAGACAAGATGTTTATAACTATAAAAAAAACATATAAAGCAGCATCTACACAGACATTAAGTAGATGGCTAAAAGATATTTTAAAATTATGTAATATAGACACCAATATTTTTAAAGGGTATAGTGTTCGACATGCATCTACCTCAGCAGGGGCTAGGGCTGGTTTGAATATAGAAACTATTAGGGAGACGGCAGGATGGACAGAAAATTCTTAAGTATTCAATGTTTTTTATAATAAACCTTTAGCAAAAGATTACGGGCTCTTTGCAAAAACTATATTATCAGGTTAGTCCATGTAATTGTATATACATTTTGGTTTTGTTTAATTCTGTTATGAATTTTGTAAAATTATATGTGTAGGTTATGGTTATGACATAACATTAATTTTCTTATTATGATTTTTTCGTACCTGGTTAAAGGTACAAATATTATGTACTTAAAATATAAACATTACCCTTAATTATTGTAATATGTTATCCACTTTTGTAGTTCCTAATAAAAAAAATAAATAAAATGTGTGAATTATTAATTTTTGGGGGATGGCAATATAATTTTGTTTATTTATATCGCACAATATTGTCTAATCTTTCAACAGCCTACCATTACCTTATTTGTACGCTCCCCCCCATTGATTCTTTAGAACCTACCCATTTATTGTGCGATCAAAATAAAAAAAAACAGTGATTCGCGCTTAGTCACCTGTGAAGAAGATGGATATCTTCTTTTTTCTTCTTCTTCTTTAAACTGTGGTCAACCTCCAGAAAATACCACTACCATTAGTACAAATGTTCGAAATGTAAGATAGGACAATTATGATTGTCCTTCCTTAACAGGTAAGTCAACCAATCAATTAATTATAGCTTTTATATTCAAAAATAATTTTTGAAATATAAAGTGATTGTCAAACTATTACAGTACAGATAAACAATTTTTAAACTATTTCAAATGCTTACTTATTATGTAGTTCTGCAAAAAGCCAAAATATTTTTGAAACTTGCAAAGCTGGCCAGGGTAAGCGAAATAAAGTAATTTAGTTCTTGTTTACCTTGCTGGGGATTGTTTTGTTTGGAGCATACACCTTACTTTGTGGTGGAATAGTCACTTCTTGGATATTATCACACAATTCTTCTTCTTGTAGAGCTTTGTATGTTTCGCTTTCAGCAGGATTAAACTTTACTTGTCTACGCGTTTGCCTAAAAATAGGGGTATTTAATAAAAATCAATATTAACTATCTATTAAGCACATACATGTTAAAACGTATTCAACTTAAATAATTGTTAATAGTAAGTAGCAGCAAAAGTAAAGGTATGGATTTTAGTTTAAAATAAAAATTAAATAATTTACATAGATATAATGATTGTATCGGATTGATCTATAAATGAGCAGTAAGATTTATAATGAATTAAGAAAGGAAAGGAATAAGAAATATTAATTAAAGGCTGAGTTCAAATTATACTATGACCCCCTCTGTGGCTCAGTGGTAAGAGCGCCTACCTTTAAATCTAAAGGTCGTGAATTCGAATCTCATCTGGGTGGAAATTTTCGTTTATTAAAAATTAATAAATGAATATAATTTCTATCCTTGTGCGATCGGTACTCACCAGAGGGACCGCAGACGTTCGGATACAATTAGCGTCTCTTAGCAAAGACAATGACGTCGACTTTGCTAAGTATCAAGACAATTACTCTACACACACACACACACACACACACACACACACACACACACTACACTAGGTACCTGACTGTACCATGCCAATGACCATAGTTGTCGAAGCATTAACCCAATAAAAAAAATTATACTATGAAGTTTGTAAAAAGAAAGAGAGCATGCACAATTAGGTGGGTCAACAAATGCGAGGTCCGACGGAAATGAAAAAACAGAAAAAGCAATGGAGTTCTATTTAAAAAAAAAAGATGAAAAGAAATAGATGAAACAAAAGTGTTAAATTTCGGTAAGTAAAACGCATAGAATTTAAAATGTATGTATAAAGACAAAATATTTAGTTTAAATCTTCGAAAAGTATTTAAAAGTAAAGTATTTTTTTTTGTATTTTAGCCTTGGTTTCTAACCTTTGACTACGTAAATCCATACAAATATGAGTTTTTATTTATACAGAACTGTACCGAGAGGACACTTTTCATGCTCAGGGGTTCATCAGAGCGACTTCGCCCCAAAAACCATGGTAAGATAGGTGGGAACAAATATATTACTGATTGTACACATAGGTACAAAGCATATATCCACTTAAACCATCAATTTTTCACTCACACCTTTAATTTAATTTTTTTTGTAGAAATACCATAATCAGTTTAATATTTTTTGTATTATCTTTATTTTAGTACATTTAAGTTTAAGGGTGTCTTTAAACCTGCTTTCAGCAATTCTTGAAGCAGCTGCGTACTTTTATTGGGATGTAAGGGACAGTTAAATATGTGATTTAGATCATCTACGCTAATTCCATACTTACTTCTGTTAGTTAGAAGCACTTCGATTTTATTTAGATACTTCGGAAAACATCCATGATCTACTTTTAATTATTGGATGGTCAACACATTGGATGGATTTTTTACTTAGTGCAACAACTTTGTAAAATTGGTTCGCAGCTAATGTTGGTTGTAATTTAATCAAATTAGTACCTATAATTTTACCGAAGTGAATCCAATGTCCAACTTATTTAAATATAATATGCTGTTTCACATACGCAATGAGATCACATGTGTTAAATTTTTCAATCAATTTGTGGATACTTTAGTAGATTTTTACTACGACAATACTATTATCCAATATATCTGAATGCCCTTTAACTTCTACTAATTTATTATTATATTATGAGGCTGATAATTTTTGTAACTGTTAAAAAAGTTTTAATATGAACATATTGCTGTTCATAATAACAATTATTGTGACTTTAAAGTTTAAAGCATTTAATACTAATAATGAATCAGTGCAAAGACAATGTTGTTCCACTGGTTTTCACAACATCATATCTAGTATATTCTTCAGAGGAAAAGATGCTGGATTAATTATTTAGAGTAAATGCTTTTTTAATTTTCAATTTTGGTACACATAAGCACTGATTGTACATGTTACTAATTTTGACCCATCTGTATAGATTTCAATGTAATCTGAATAGTTACTTAGATTTCCTAGAGAGTATTATGACAAAATTCAGTTTTATATTTAGAAATAATAATATTGGTAGATTTGCTAGTCAGATATTATCTGCCTAATGAGAGTGGGTTTTCAGAGGCTAGAACCAGTTTGGCTTCATTTTGAGTGGTTTTTATCAAGCCCAACACAGTTTTCATAAAATTAGATTCTATTAAATTAACGTAAATTAGTTATGCCAGCTGACCCATATACCAAACAGCCCTAATCTACAATAGATCTTATAATATAAGTTCGATAAAAATTCAATGCAATATTTTGATCTGCAACAGTAAATTTACAGTTTGTATTTTGAGAACGATTTCCGAAGTGGAAATTGAAACGTCAATAAACATATTTTAACCTTTAATTGTGGCTTATTTCCAGTTAAATAGTAATTAATGAAAAATAATAAACAACTACAAGAGATAAAAGAGGAAACCAGATAATTAAAAAACGACGTGAAACAATTACAAAACAGAATGGAACAACTGAAGAAAACAAGTAAAAAGAAAATTTGATTATATTGGGTTTCAAAATAGATACAAATATTGATAAAAACTTAAAAGAAAGCATAGAAACATTCATATCACAAGAACTGCAGTCGCAAATAAAACTAAGGAACGCAACAAAAATAGGAGAAATAGTCTATGCCATAGAAGCAGAAACTTTTACGGATAAAATTGAGATACCAAATAGGAAAAGCAAGTTAAAGTATCATACAGATCGCATCTATATACATAATGATCTGACAGCAAAAGAAAAAGAAATACGGAAAGAAATAGTTAAAATAGCAGAAAAAGAACAAAGTAAAGGAAAACACAAAAATATGTTATAAGAAGTTGTTCGTGAATGGGGAATAATAGATATGGGATGAAGAAAAACAACAACTAAAAGAAACTACCAAAGGAAAATTGCCAAAAAACTAGTAGAAGAAAACAACAGGGGAGATATGGTACCGAAACAGCAAATCAAACAAATACGACCATGGAAAATGGACAAATAAACACAAAAGAAAAGCAACAATCCAAGGATATAATAAAAATTGGGACTTGGAATGTGAGAAGTACTTATGAGCAGAAAGCTTTACGAAACTTGGATCAAATTATGAAAAAAATATGCAAAAGATATCCTTGCCCTACAAGAAACGAAACAACTGGAAAATGAAATAATAAAAATAGGAAAGAGCACCCTGTTCAAGAGTTGAACCAAGAAATATTTTGAAGTGGGATTCATGGTGTCGGAAAAAGTAAACAAAGCAGTTGTAAATTTTCAACCAATATCAGACAGAATATGTTACTTTAAGAGTAAGAGGAAAGTATAGGAATATTAGGAACATTAATGTACATACGCCTACTAAAGATAAAGACTTAGACACCAAAACAGAGCTCTACGAAAAGCTAAGCACCCTAATGGGGAATATACAGAAATATGCTATAAAGATAATCATTGCTGACATGAATGCGAAAGTCGAAACGAAATATACAGGGTGTTTCAAAAAGGCATGTCATAAATTAAATCACGCATTCCGGGAACAAAAATAAATTGATTGAATCCGACTTACCTTAGTATAAAAGTGTACACAAAAAAAGTTACAGCCCTTTGAAGTTACAAAATAAAAATTGTTTTTTTGCATTATCTCCTAAACTACTTCAAATTTTGTAATAAAAATTCACACGTTACTTTCTTTTTCTTAAAGTATTTTTCATTAAAAAGAAACAACAAAGCGCACAGAAAAATTTTAAGGGGGGTGTGCAGCCCTAAATCCCCTTAAACTTTTGAGTACGTTCAAATCAAATGAATTTTGTGGCATCATTAGTATAACACATTATTTTTAAAATTTTTTTTTCCCTTTTGCAGCTTCAATTATTCTAACCCTCAAATTTTTGTTCCTCCTCTTTTGTTACAGAATACACTTTCTCTTTTATAAACCCCCAAAAGCAAGAGTCCATGGAGTTAAGACCTGGACTTCTGGGTGGCCAAGAAATAGGTGCGTCACGACCCCTTCCAATTCACCGACCAGAATACTGCCTGCAAAGGTATTACCGGACTTCATTACTGTAATGCGGTGGAGCGCCATCTTGTAGAAACCACATATTTTGCCTTATTGTAATATTCACTTCTTCCAAATACTCTTGTAAATCGTTAGCCAAAAACTGCAAATAATTATCACCATTTAAATTGTTGGGAACAAATACTGGGCCTATTAGATTGTTATCCACAATTCCTGCCCAAATATAAGAATAATAGGGGGATGAAGTTTACATAAGGAATCAAATGAAAACGGGATTTGTAGATTATTAACAACTGAAAATGGGGGCATCTTACATGACCCCCTGTAGTTGGTGAGGTTTTATTGACTTACATTACCTCTGATCTGTGCTGGAGTCTAGGGCTAACTAGTTAGTACCCGTCAATGTCAAGTGGAATGATGTAGTAGGAGCAAAAGTCATTGTGCTTAAGTTTGTAAATAGGATTCACAAACTATTCACAACGACCTATTCAATGTACAAAACTTAGGATTGCATATGCTATTTATCAATTTTAAACAAGCATATGACTCCCTTAATCGAACGATGTTATATAAGGTTAGACAATTTCGATGCAGTTATAAGGACTGAATTGTTTTCTAATGCCCCTTTATCCGATTTTTCTCGATCGACGATGGTAAGACAAAAAAAGTGTTGAATTCGTGGAGTAAAATTATAGTTTTATTGACAGCTACTAATAATTACACTCTAGTTGTTGGTTAGGCAACTCTATGATATACTGCTCTCAAATGAGCTCAAATCCCCAATTTATAATTTCACAAATAATGTATACCTCAGCACAGAGGTTAATGATTTTATCATACTAACAAAGTTTGAACTATGAGCTTACAAAACAATTAAATATAGGCCATTACTGCAAGACTTGGAAAGATCAATTTGAAAATATATTATTCGGCAATTTATTAAGTTGCAGGTAAATGGACTCTAATTTTTAAAATATTACACGATATGTTTTCACAATGTTTTAATTATACACGGTGAAACTATAAA